TCCCAGATACACTTTCGGTTTTGAATTTGCTTTTGAATTTCTCTAAATTTTTATTTTCTCATTTCTCTCCTCGCTTTTAGCCATCATTTTGATCGCTTGTTAAACTATATTTCAGTGCGCCTTAACGCTGTCGTTTTAAAGCACTGTTTCGGGTTGTAAATTAATTCAAAAAAAAGCAAAATCGCATTTTTACTTTACGTATCCTTAATGGTTCTTACAGACTTTTCATAAAAGCGCTGAGGGCAGAAAAACTGAATGATTTGATTGAGACTACGGTGAAGTACCTAAGAGTAGCCAGTCTTTTAACCTAAAAATGCTTTGCATTTCTATTCAGTTTTGAGGGATTTCTTATGGCTTCCGGAAATTAAGTTCTTGTCTACGAGGATGAATCTTCAATTTTTCTTCAGTTTAATCGTTCCTTGCTTTTGAAATTCATATCTTCTTTCGTGTGTAAATCTCTTGGGGCCATTGTAAAACTTTAATATTGTCAGTATTTGCAGGTGCTTTTCGAAACTCGCCATGACTTCACTGCCTCATACATCGCCACAGTATTCTTCAACATTTGATTATTTCGATATAGAGTTGGATGCTGGAAAAGATGCCGTTTTTCATGGCGGTGAATTAGTGACTGGATTTTTGAAAGTCAAGCTGAAACGCCCGATGACTATTGAAATCATTCGATTACATTTTAAGGGACGAGGGTGTTTTATAGAGCGAGAAGGAACAAAGCACAAGGAAAAGGAGAAGGTATTATTAGAAGTTAAATTTTAGATGCCTATTTTCTACAAACCTTCTGAATATTAACTGTGATTGTCTCAAAACGCCTTTGTAGGTACAAAACACTTAGCAATTCTTTCAACTTTTCAGAAGACTTCATACCTCACTGCCAACTTCCATCACTTTTAATAGATTAGCGCAGTAATCAAAAAACTATCTACTTATTTATTAGACACTGTTTAATTTAATTGGTATTTACGGTAAGAAGTTACATGCGCATTTTTAGATTTATTTTGATAAGGACTTGACTCTTCTCGAGAGGCCCCCTGGTAAACCAGAGCCAGGTAGGTTCCCGTGGATTGCTGAGTTTATGTATAGCTTGCCTTTTGAATGTACACTGCCACTTGGTTGTCCAACTTCTTATGAAACAGTCTTTGGTTTCATCCGCTATTTTGTTCGAGCTGTGATTGAGGAAGCCAACACCAAAGTGAGGTTTTGAAATTTTTGCTCTCGGTAATGCCTTGTTTTAGTGTTTTTTACCAGTTAATTTTACTCTTAGATGAAGAAAGGTTTTTTCCAAATTTTGTTTATTAGATGAATGGAGTCAAGAAGAAGCTATGTTTAAGGGCTAAAGTTATCAGAAACAGCAAGATCATGCATTCAGGAAGTAAAATACATGCTCTTCTAGGACCAGTTCGTTGCAAAACGGTGCTTTTCTGTTGTGTCTTCTGATGCCTACGACGAAGAAGCCTCTGATGGAAATCCAGTAACAGCGACAGAAGCTTTGACTCAAGGAGGTTGTTGCTGTAGGACCAAAGTTAGTGCTGAAGCGCAGCTGCAGAAGTCTGTATTTTCTCCAGGTGAGAAAGTGATTGGTACGGTTAAAGTCAGCAACAAACATCAGAAGAAGCTCCTTGACACGGTAAGGTGAAGTTCCAGCCGTTTTTAATTCTTTCATTTAATGGTTTATTGAGGACTTTGGTTGCTGTGGACATCTTATTCTCGCAAGCGTTGAGCCTAATACATTTACAAAATGAGCTTGGTGTTTCTAGGTTGAAGTAAAGTTAGTGGATCGCTTAGGGGAAGTGGAAGGAGGGAAAATCCGTTTTGCCTCTTACCGTTCACTTCTGAGTCGAAGGTTGGGTCTGAAGGAATTACAGTCTTCTAGTGTAGAGTTCTTCAGGATACCTTCTGTCGCACCGAGTCTCTCTGGTGAGAATTTGCTCCTAAACGGTTCTCAAACGACAGTTTAGGGTTAATTCTTTGCTGATTGCAGGTAGAACAATTGAAAAAATACTGCCGAATGACGCAAAAATTGTTGAGTCCCCGAGTACGATGACACTACGTGCGAGGAAAAAACCATTCCTGAAAATAGAATATGAGATCCAGGTAACAGTAGGGGGCCACTGCTTTCTCCTTTTTTTGTTGTCTTTATTGCGGTATGAAGTCTCAGGAATTCATATGTATGTGTGTGGTGTTTTTGCAGTGACGATTTCGGAATATCTGAGGATACTTAGATGCTCTTCTTGAGCTTCTT